CACAGTAAAGTGTGGTAGGCACAAACACGATGTCACAGCAAGGTAACCGCTGACATACGGCTCACTGTAGGGCCCGCGCTAAACACACATCGTTAGGTTTTAATATGCAGCATTTTCATTTTTGACACTAAGAAGTACAGCACGGTGCCGTCATGTGGCTTTCCTTGTCATCCTGTCATTCTTCTGGGCATTTTTTTCTTCACACTATTCTGTCACTTCTCACATTTGATGATTCCCGGTCTCAGCTTCCCTGCTTCTTCCTCGTCTCAGCGCTTATAATCCTCTTTCGCTCTTCAAGCTATGCCACCAGTTCTCAATTTTTTCCACCACGTCATCTTTTCACCCACCTCACCTATCTTTTTTTTAATCTCTTTATCTTTTTGCCACTTCCCTCTTCCCTAACCTGCATGCTTGACCCCCCACGTCTTTGTGCTTTTTTCTTGTCACATCACCCATTTCTTTTATCTTCCCTTTGGCTTTTTGACTTCTTAATTTAATTTCTTTACTACTCTTTTGTTTTCTCATAGTAAAGAGTAAAGGAAAAGAGGGAGGATAATGGAGTTGAGGGGAAGAAGGAGGGCAGTGGGCTGACAGAGGGAGTCCCATATGCAGCGGGCTCATTAGAAGATGGGAGGAGAGTCAGCGGCAGAGCCACACTAGCAGGTATCCATACCCACCCACCCCCCTCTCTCTCTGTCTGTCTCCCTCACACATATTGCTGGCTTCCTGGACTCATTCCAACACTGACATATCACTATCTTCTCTCTCCCTCCCTGTCTCCTTCCTGCTGCGCTTCTGAAAGTCCTGCTCTCATTAATCACCACCGCGTACAATACACAGCAATTGGTGAATGATTTTACCTTTTACCACCTACCTGCACTATGAGGCCATATATTTTTACTATATGTGGCATCAGTGGAAATCGAGCCATAAATCCGAGGCATTGTTAAAATTGCATGTTTTTTTCCCCTCTTCTTTTACAGCAAAAAGAGAAGTGTGTGATTGAGGAAGACGAAATGCTCAAGGGCACTTAAGAAGCCTCCATGCCTATCTGCTGCATGAGCTTGGCCCAGCTTTCGTAGGTAATTCTCTAGTCTCAACACCCATCTCCCAAAACGGGGAGAAGCCCCTACCCCACCCCACATTCACCTTATTTGTCAAAATGAAACTTTTCCATATGGAGTCAGAGAAATGCTAAGTAGCTATGAGCAGGTTGAAACAGGCAGATTATGTCAGTTACTCGGTCCAGCCAAAGCTGTAGCGGCTTAATGACACTGTCCAGTCCACTCACCTCCAAACTGCAAATTTTCTCCATCTTTTCCCAGCTTTAATGCGAAGGTCAGCAGATGGTGAGGATACATTAACCGTGCAGGCAGGCGTGGAAAAAAAAGGAGGCCGCGTCACACCATCAGAGTCTGGTGATACTATCTCAGAAAATGCTATTCCCTGGGTAACCATTGATTTCCAGTGTTTAATAGTTGTTTTGTTTTCAACAGAAAACACTGTCAGTACCTTCCTTTCTTTATAACAAGGCCAAAGCCTCAGTGACAAACTGACGTCCTTCGAGCTGTGAGGTACTCTGTGTCCTCTCTGTCCTTGTCAAGGACACCCGAAGTAAGAAGAACAAGGTCTTGAAAGTCAGACCTTTTAGACCGTGCACACCTACATATAAACACGAATCGCCTCTTGTTTGCTTTTGTTGTACTCAATCGGTTGCAGCCTAAGATCAAAGGTGCATTAATACATTAATTGTATTAATTAACTGCTTCCTTTAGAAATATTCCATCTTTAGAAATAAACTTCCAAGTCCACACTTTGTGTTTAAAAAAAAGAAGAAATGACTAACTGACCAGCTCAATAACACAGCATTACAGGCAAAGGTGATCCTCTTCCTGATGGGGCAAACTGCCAATGTCACGCTGATTGATGATGAAAAAAAATTCTACTTTATGACTGACTTAAATGTATGAACTTAACTGCAATGTATCATTTCTAGAACATCCATCAGAAAGCCATGTTGGGTGCACAGCATTGCACCCTTGAGGGAAAGAAGAGTTATGTTTTAAAGAGGAGTGAAAGTTTAATGGTGCGGAACATGTATGTGATCTTGTAACAATCCCACTGTAATGGCGACACAGTAAAATTGTCCATTAGCGGAGGCCCATCGGTGTTTTTTATGTTATTAAACGAGCTCATAAGCATCAAGTCGCCACCACGAGCATCAAGTTATCTGATCGATGAGCACAGTGTGGCTGCCAATTAGCACCGACCCTATTCCCATGAATATGCAAATGAATCGATGCCAAGTGTATATCAACTGTCAGCTAATTGCCTGAGGCCTGAAAGGTTCTGAATTTAAGGGGACGTATGCATGTTTTTTTCCTTCATGTTCCATATTTATCTGTCTTTTGCTTTTCTTTTCTTTTTTTGCAGAATGTATAGGTGTAAACCACATGCACAACACAGCTGCCATTCAGCATCGGGGCTTTTGTTACACCTCAAAGAGGGACCACCTTTAGTATGAAGCTATATTTATTCAGCAGGAGGAATGAAGGAGAAAGGAAACAAACATTTAATCTCACTTTCAGTCATGTATGTAAGCAGTTCCCTGTTGAGGAGACAAACATTGTCTACTACTGTGAGGAAATGTTTTGACAGCTTTTTCATCTTGCCTACTTTAATATGGAGGTCAAAGGTCAGATTTAAGTGTAGAACAGAACCCCTGGACCTCTTACAGATTCATTTTCTTGTGAGTTGACAGGTGCTGTAGGTACTACTGGTGTCAGACAGTGTCTGAGCTCAGTACGCTGTCTCGCTGCCCGAGTCACATGAATTATGAAAGGTTCTGAAGCAGGTGAAGGAAAAAAGATGGAAAGTGTCATCCTACTCAGACACCTCTGCCTCAATATTCATTTTAAAGTAAGGATAGAAAGCAACATTTTATTGCTGACACCAAAATTTTACATTGCAAAGTCAACAGACAACACTCGTTATATCGCGTCCTGTTAGACTTGACACACTTGGTCAAATATCAAAGCACATGCCACTGAGAGTTCCTTTCTGCTTGTCTTGATCCTGGTCTTCACTCATTTCATGTGCACAGAATTGGCCTCGGGCACACCATGTGGGGGAAAAAAACATACCTGATGTGGTTTACAATAGCCTGTTTGCTGTGCTTAGTGAATGCCCAAGTCTGAAAGTCTCAATATGGCACTTTTTCACCTGTTTATCTGTTGCATTATCACTGCTTTGCACAACCAACTTGCACTTTCTGATGATAAAAAAAAATCAAACTCTTAACACATACACTATTTTCCAATCTTCCCCGACCCAGCTCTGCTAAAGAGAGCATAACTATAATTCAAACTCTTCCATTCACATCAGCACTACGTATAAGGCCAGCTCATCGTGGCAGCTTGTTGGACTGTCGTCAGCACTTCATCCTGTGGACGCCTGCCAGACAGAAGCCCTTCCGTCCGATCAATAGGCACCGGCGGCTAGCTTCCCCCCTTTGCTCTCTTTCGCTGTCTTTCCCTCCCTCTCTGGGCGACCACAGTATAAAGACTGTTCTGTTCTGCCAGCGCAGCATAGTGATTAGGCATTAGGCCGGTGCTGCTGTGTGAATTAGCCTAATCTGTGTCCGCGATGAAGGACGAGGCTTTTCATGGCCACTGGAGACATTCACTGGACATAAAAGAAGCTAATCTTTAGAAAACTTAGAGGGGATGGAGCATGTGTCAGTATCTGTGTGTATGTGAAGGATGGAGATTGCGCAGGAATTGTTGAGAGAGTTCCCACAGTGATAGATCGTTTCTAATGCTTCTTATCCTTCATCAGTAAAAATAAATAAATACATTTAAAAAAAATCTACTTCCTGAGGATTTGCAGCTCATGGGGAAGAGAAATGTTGTATTGTCATTTCTTAAAGTACTGGAAAAGTGGATAAAGTGCTGGCTGAAACAGATTGAGGCTGCCATCCATGTAGGGCGTATGTGAGGAAAAAATATATTCCTTTATTCTTCAGTCAGTTTGAGGGGAATTAGAGGAGACTGAATTGTCACAAGGCTGCTTACCTGGCCACAGAGGAAGCTGCCTAAACCTGCAGATCTCAAAAGTTTTTTGTTTCTTTTTTTTTTGTACTTTTGCAGCAACGGGGGCTTTGATGCGACAGAGCAAATACTAGCACTTTTTCAATCCTTGTACATCCTTATGTTAGTTGTCCATCATGCACCTGCCCAAGAGTTGACATGTAGCAGCCTGAACATGCACCCACAGCATGCCTACCAGCAGCCCAGCCCTCCTCCTGCTCTCCTCCACATCATCTGCTTGATATATTGTATGCCCTTGACAAACTGCCAGCGCCCAATCCCCCTCCTGCAAATGTCTATTGATCAAAGCACAAGTATGGCTGTGGAAAAGGTATATAGTCTGACCCATACTCTTATCTTTTTATTACCTCTGGTGAGCCAGAAACTTACAGAAAAAAGGGAGTTCCAAAAAAGGGGGGGGGGGGGAGCGATTGATTTAGAAATAAAATGCAGTAAAGTCCAGACAGCATGAAGAATATAAAAACTTTATTTCTGGTTTTGACTTTCAGCAGTCTAGCAAATAAAGAGCACCTCTATCTCTTTTGTTGACACGGTGCCTTTTTGCACCTTTGGAGTACTTTTACGCACAACCAGTGGTGAATTTAGGTCAGCAGCCAGCTGGTGCCAAATATCTGTTATGTGTTGGGTGATCTTTGCACAGCAGGAGTCTTGTTCCTGCGATGAGCTTCACAGTAAGCTCGCTGTTAAAAGCAGGACATCATATTTAACTCAGCCAACCAGTTTCATAAAATACACGAAGGAACCCAAAAGTCATCTTCACACCCCCTGCGCATTCCTCCAATATGCAAGTCGTACTAAAATGAAGGACCAGAAAGCACGGGCGTCTGTGGACCCGACAGCTTCCACCTCTCTGCCCGATACTGTAAAGGGGAAAATAACGCGATGACTTACCGAAATGAGATCCTGGCCACTGTCAGGCGTCTCCTCGTTTCCCTACTGTCCCTGGTCCGCCCCTCTTTCAAGTCAATCCGCAGTGTGCTCAAATCAGAACGGAGCTGTGAGCCTTTTCGCTGCGTCCTGCGTCCAGAGTTGCCGGGGATGGAACAACCATTTGCCGGGATGCTGGGGCGGGGGTGCAAGGCTGAGGCATCCGCAGGGAGGAGGATGAGAGGGATGTGGAAGAGACGGGTGAGAAGGAGGAAGAGGCGAGGTACAAAAGCGAGGAAGGAAGAGAGAGAGAGAGAGAGAGAGAGAGAGGGCGAGCGAGCAGCAATGCACTGCAGCGACAGGGAGGCAACACCACCGGAGAGGAGAGGAGGCAGACAGCAGCCCTCCGTCTCGGTCTCGCGCTCACTCGCACATGCGCGCGCACGTGCAGTTCTGTGTTAATAGACAGATATAGAGCGCCATCTTCAGGTTGACGTGTGGTAGGAAGGTGTTGGGAATCGAAATCTCGTATTAAAAATCATCTCTTGCGTCAAGTGTACCATTCAGTTGAAACCTCCTCCATAAAACGCCCTTTATTCCCTCGTCTCTTGTGTCCCACCATCTCCGATCATATGTATGCCCAAAACCAACTCTTATCCTAAAGCAACCCAAAATCTAAATGAGACCCATAATCCCACTGCTGCTGCACACACACGCTCCATGGCAACCAGGTCCCTTTGGGGGTTATGATGATGATCACCTTGCGTCGGTCCCCTTTTCCTTTCTTGCTGTTGCGTCGTATACGTTTCCCAACGCCAGAAAAAACTGAGTATTTCTCAGATGTGTGGTTGTATCATGAGTTAATTGTCCTGGATTGACTGAGATGAGGACTGAACCTTTTATTTCATCTTTGTTCTTTATCTGGCTTCTAATTAACTTCCACCTTCTTCCTTTCATTCTTTTGATTTTTTTTTCTCTGTCTGTTTAAGAAGACAGTTGTGAGAAATAGCTCTAATTAGCCGGCATGATCCTAATTTCTTTTTCAGTGTTGAAATGTCAAAACTGTATTAATAGATGTATACCACCACATCACTATTCATCAGTAAAGGCTTTTGCATTTATTTCCATATTATAAGTTTATTTTAGATAGCATAAGTTTAATGTGTGGCAGTATCGTAACTCTCCAGTTCATAATATTTTATATTAAATACAATTTTTTCTTCAACAACAGTTGTGGCATAAGTTCCTTTTTTCAGAAGAAGTGCAAAGAAATTAAACTACCCACATTAGTTTAATGACTGTAATGTTTGGGTCAGGATTCTGTTTTGGTGGTGAGATAAAAATAAAAATGCAGATTTAAAACTCACTCTAATGAGCTGTGGGGCTTTAATGCCTGTTTTTGGTCTTTTGAATGGCTTTAGAATAGACACACGATATATATCGTAGTATATATTATATTTATATATATTATTATATATTATTATATAATATATATATATATATATATATATATATAAAATGACAATCTGTTGTGCAGTAGTATCATTATGTATTTATTGTGATTATTATTTTTTTTAAATGTCTTGTACTTTTCCCCTGAAGACAAATAAGCAGTTACAAATTGAACTGAACTCAACAAATAAGAGGTTATACCAGACACATTTACTTCTTTAATTCTTTTATTTGAATTTAATCAGATGGCAGAGCAATAGTCAACATTGCTCAGTGAAAGTAAGTAGTAAATACAGTTTGAGATTCATCCCCATGACAAATGCAGGTAAGCTTGACATCATATAAGGTGCTCTTTTATTTTATTTTATTTTTTAAATTAATTGTCAATCAAAGTGAAGAATTTTGGCCAAACGGTGACTCGGGTTATCGATCCCAAATATCTATTTTTTTGTTTATTTATTGTCAGTGTGTGTGTGTGTGTGTGTGGGGGGGGGTGTTAATAGCATCTGAGCAAGATTTTTTGAAATTATTAACAAGCACAGCCACTGACTCACCTCTCATTAGCTTCATCTCGCAGCTACATCAGAAAGACAGGGATGATGGTGTTCTCTCGTCACTGCAGACAGCCACATTTCTCCCAGACAGCAGCTGGTGTCATCATAAACAGGCAGAGTTGGGAAGTTCAATACTGGAAACTGTTCTGTTCTTTTCAATCCATTTTAATATTTTTAACAACTTTATTTGTTGAACTTCAGTCAAGTCTATGTTTAATTAAAAGCATAGATCAACTTTCTATTGTAGCTACTGGTCTGCATATGTGTTCCACTTTTGTCAAGTTACCACAAAATGTTTTAATATTTCACTTCCTATGCCTGTTCGCATGCTTTTCTTTTTTGTGTGTTCTTTATGCGCTCTAACGCCATATGGAATCGTTTTGAATTTGTTGTCTTCATCTTGCACATATGGGCAAAACTAAGTTGCACTATCATCCCATGCTGTAAGCCAAAATGGAATTTAAACGCTAAACACTAAAATCTCTTACATATTGCAAAAGATTTGCCTTTATTCTTCTGAATATCTCTGCCTGCTGCTTACCAGTCTGTTTAAAGACCAGAAACCGATTTTGGTGAAGCTGGAGAAGTTAAAAAATATATATATAAAAAAATAAAAACAAGGTGAATAGGGTGAGTTCAGTTTGTCTTCTGCCTCTTACTTCCGCTCCCAGAGGATCACGAATGGAACGCAGAAATGCAGGTTTAAAGATTTACCACTAGGTGGAGCCAGTGAACTTGTTTGTCACCCAAATAAGTTAAAAACCATTCATATTCAAATGTTTACGTCTCTGATATAGATTTGTGAAAGATAACGACACGTGTTAATGTTGCAAATTTAAACAGATTCATATTTTGGAGGATTAAATAAGCTGATTGAGTGGCCAGCTGTGGATTGAAGGAATGACATTGCTTTAAGCATTACGTTTGCAGCTTAAAGGCCATGCTGGCTCTGTTAACAGAGGCTTAGAAGTAGTTTGTCAATTACATGGAAAATATTTACCACGGTTGTGTCCCTAGAGATGTTTTACATAATTATTGCATAATTCTTTCTTCTTCTTTTTTTTGGGTGGTGTGCCACAGTGTACAGTCATGTCCCTGGCATGCCCGTGAAGTGTGTTAAAGTCCACTCGTTGCAGGAAGTGCTGATTTGCCCTGTGTTGAAATACACTTCACCTACAGTGGACTCTCACAGTTACCATCAAACACGCATATTTTAAACCATGTATCCAATGCCAGTCATTGCTCATTATTGTCTTTTATTCGGTCAAAAATGTGACCAAAGTAACCCACCAGCATTTGTTGGGAGAGAAAACACCCCACAGTGTTTTAACAATGCCTGACTTTATTAATGCACGGGAAGCTCAGAGACAAACAGGTTTTATTCAAATGGACTATGAGGTACAAGGAAACAGCTTTATTGGAACTAAAACCAAACAGCGTGCCCTCTTCTTGCTGATCTTGGAAAAGAACTCACATAGTCTGTGCTGAGTTACGAGAAGGACAAGTTTGGCATCACGTTCTTGAAGTTGGCTACGAAAAAACTGCAATGACTTCCTTAAGAAGATGATGACACGGATTGGTCCCTGCCCATCCGCCTCTTTAGAGCTGAAAGAACACAGACCTGAAGGGGATCCTGAAGACCGAGGTGGAGCATGTATTTAGCACACTGCAGAAGTGAAGAAAGCAGGATGAGGGGACTTAAGTGAAGAAATTTAGAGATGAGACTTAAGTTGGAAGTAAACAGGCCGAGATGATGCCAGCGGTGTGTCTAAAGTAGTGCACAAGCATTAATTGTATTGTTCAGCCCATTTGCTGCTCCCTCTCTAGTGTTTGAAGATAGGTGACAAATAAAAGGAAAATCTGAAGCCTGGTGATTCAGTGACTCTGCTATGCAGTTTGGAGGCATGCTTTTATCCTGATGCGGGTGTTCTCTTGAATGTAAACGCTCCCATTGCCAGTATGAAAACGATGTGATGTCACTGGATTTGTCTGGAACACAACCGAAAACCTGTGAGGGATTTTGGATCGACTCTCCACCACTATCATCAGGAAATATTCTCATGTGGCATCAAATACATACGAGAAACAAATCTGCACATAGATCATAGAAGAAAAAAAAGAACGTTGACAAAACTACAGACTAAACCACTGTGGATGCAGCTGTGCTGTTAAGCTGAAGTTGTTTACGTGTGTGTGTGTGTGTTTGCAAGTGTGTGTCTGGGTGTGTGTGGTATTTCTGGTATTTTTGCTATGACAACAACGATATCAATAACAACTTATTCATTACATTAATGAAAAACTGCAATATAGAGAGAACAGATAATCCATCTGATCTCTCCATATTACAGGCCTCAGCGAGTGCAGGCCTGGCAGGACCAGGTCAGGTAACCAGAATCCAACTAGCACCCTCTGCATGTTACCTGTACACTGTTTTCCCGTGGAGGGCTTTTGTTTTCTTCTCTTCCTACTGAGCAAGTAATGCATTAAAAGAAGCAGGATGTCCAGTATTGCTGAAAACTATGACAGAGGTTTCAGGGGACAAGTGGCCACAACCCACAACCCAGGATGTCGTGCCAAAAAATCTTGTCTGCCTGCTGAGACCACAGGGCGAGTCCAGAAGTAGCAACAGTAGCAGTCCACCTACAGTAATACTGATCATAACAGACACAAACAAAGAAGGCTAGAAAAAGGAGAGAAAGGAAGAGAGTCCGAGAGGTGAATCAGAACCGAGACATATTTCCCATCTGTATGTCTAAAATGTAGATGGGAGCATTAATAAAATGAAAAAAAGAAAGAAATATGCCAACATGTCTCTATTTACTTCTAACAAAGGACTGAGTAATATTCACGGCAATATTTGTGAATATACTTTTAAAATTATTAAAATAACAACAACAACAACAACAATAATAATAATAATAATTTGAGTTTTGTAAAATGAATATAATATGAAATACTAAAAAGTTCCATACATATTACCTTAACCTTGTTTATATGTATAGGGCTACAATAAACCTAAATAATCCTGACACATGCACAGCGAGCTGTTTGATGTGCAGCTAAAAGTAAGACACTTTCTATTAATTATGATTTTAATTTATTACCCATGTGAAGGCGGCTGGAACCGGTTTTAACATGCGTGTTCATTGTCATGTCACACATTTCTAGCACTCTCTGCACTCTTTACAAGTGACACATAAACTCTACACAAATGCATTACACACTTTCATGTAATCTGTAAAATAATGGCCCTAGAATTCTAACTCGTGTTTTTTCTTGTTACTGTTTTGCTGGAGAACTGAAGAAGCAAAGAGTTGCCTCGGTTAGTGAGAGTGCTATAATCAAAGAACTTCCCTAAAACGGAGGATGTAAAAATGTAGCATACGGTAACAGAAAACCCCACAAGATGAGTCTTTCAGACAAGTTAAACCAAGTTCCTGTTTTTAGTTCTCTCTTCTTTTTTTTCCTTTTCTTTTTTTAAAAAAAGAAAAAATCACAACTCTATAGTCTGTCTGCACTTTCATTCATAAAATGTGTTGCGACACAGTTTTACAAGAAATGCTGTCAGTAATCGGTTTTCATTTAGGAATATTAAGCAACCGTGTATTCCAGGATGTGTGTGAAAGTCACACCCTCGTGTCAGTCTTTCACTGTGAAAACTGGCCACAGTACATGCGGGTATGCATGCAAAAAGAGACTGAGACTGCAATAAAGAGCAAAATGGAATAAATGACTCTGATGTTTACATTAAATTTGTTTAATGGTGCAGTAACTACAGCAATTCATCAATAGTTGTCAGAGGGGGGATAGCGGCATAAACACAGAATGATTAGATAAGATTGCATGCAACAGGTCACGTAATATTCGCATGTACACGTCATGAGAGACAAAAGCAAAAGCATTAGGTCCAATTAGCATGCAGCCTTATTGCATTTTTAAAAATATGCGTTACAATTAAAGAGGAAACACAATCAAAATGATCCCCAAAATCTGACAAGAAAATAATAAAGCAACAATCTAACTACCAGACTCAGAGGTTACCTTAAGCCTTATGTTTGCTAACAATGCTGAATAAAAATTGAAAATTTTATTTACCTAAACATGGAGAATGCAACGTTCCTTACTCCACCTGGTTTCTGTTTGGTGACTGACAGTGTGTGACACATCCATTCTTTCATCTGGGCAAGGCCACACGTGAACTTCAGCAAAAGGATCACAGTGTTCCCTTAGCTTTCCCACGGACGCTTTATACTTCAGTGATGTGATGCCAAAAATATGCACATCGTACAATAAAGCAAATCTATCAAGGTCAGCATACAGTGCATGCTGTGAAGTGAGCTAAAACAAGCAAAAACACTGGTGTGGACCTTTGATGATCCAAATCAGGTAAACGACAACACAGAGAAAAAGCCACTATCTCCCCGCAGATCTGACAGGTGTGGAAATATTTTTTTAAGAAGAACGTGATTAATTACTTCTAGTGACTAACCTACCCCTTTTTACGAGGCAGATTTCAACAGCACACTTTAAGCACATTAAGCCACATGCAGTATTGTAAGAACAAGAGCTTGCATTTTATGCACTTTTTTTGCAAAGGCCTTGAGTGCAACACTTTGAAACTCCCCCACTACGCTTGTTGATATTTTTCATTGTACTCTAAGACATCAGCATGAAAAACTAATTGCAAAAATTTTTTTTTTTAAATTAAAACTCGCTAATCCTGAGGAGTATTTTCGTTAACATTTATATAACTCTTTTCTTATTCTCACACTATTATTTACTCACAAAAGCTGCCACCTTTGTATTTTTCTAAGACAGCTTTATCTTTGCTCCAAGATCCTTGAAGGCCTGAATCACGCTTGATTAGCTTTTTTCCATTTTACCAGTAAACAATTTCCCGTAAGAAGGAAGTGATTTGGTCTAGTTGGGTGCAGGTGTCTAAAAGGACAGTAAATAAATCCTGTCCAGCATGCATGAAATACTTGACTGCATTCCTCAAGCAGTAAGAACGTCATTGTAGCCACAACAAACACCCGAAGTCCTTAATGCACTTGCTGCAGTGCTTGATGTGCAACCTTAATGTAAATGAAGGATTCGTAAAATGAAACGCTTCGACTTGCAGCTGACTGCAGGCGACGACTTTAAGCAACTTTATTGACGGAAACGTAATGATTTAAAAACATATGACATTGTGTGTCTCGGTTTATCCCACACATAGTTTGTCAGTGAATCAACAGAAACAAGATGAATCTTGCTGCGGAACATCATCAGCGTCTTTGATTGCTGTCTTGGATGCACTGGTGAGGTCCCACGATGCATTGCTGCCTGGCAACACTGTCATAATCTGATGGATGTCTTTAATTAGTGTCAATTCCACCACTGTAGCAGACACGTGCACCCACACATATTTTCCTTTACTTTAAAAAAGCCAGAAAAACACTATTACTGGGGCTAGATAAACTCTTACTGGTAACAGGCAGCGCCACTGTCAAAATAGAGTCAAGTGAAAGAGTTTGCAAGAAATTCATCCCTTTTTCTTTTAAGTGTTTCTGCAATTCATCCTCAAAAAAAACAAAACAAAAACAAAAAAAAACAAAAAACTCAACAAACCAAACCCAATTGGTTAGGAAGTGGAGCATTGGTTAAGGTTGCAGTAAAAAAACAAAACAAAACTGTGGGAATCGATTGTGCAAGTAGTTTTTTCCCCACAGTTTTTGCCATGTTTTGTTATATAAGGAGATTTGTTTGCAACAATTCCAAATAAGTTGGGTGCGTGACCTGAAATGCTACAAATTACAGAGTTAACCTTTGACCTGGCTGCATTAGAAAAAAAAATCATCATTGCAGAGATCTAATCTTAGACAGAGTGAAAGATGCTACCCCCCAACGAGTTTAAACAAGTTCTGTGTTAAAATTGTTTTGTGTGGTAAATCCATTTTGAGCCCAGCTGTTGCCCCCTCCCACCTGTTTACAATGGAACAAAGCATTTCAGGTGGATTATATATTGGGGTGCATATGGCAAAATGTGCTTTTGTTTTTTATTATTTAGCTTATTCATAACTGCTGTGTGTCACGTGGCCTTACCAAATCTTTAATCCTGACAGTATATTTTTGGGGAAATCCATGACAGTACCTTTAATATCTGCTTTTCACAGATCGTATTTATAGTCTTCTACTTCTTGGCCACGCCGGCTTGAAGGGTAGGAGAATAATTGTTTGACAATACTATGCCTATCTTCTCTGTCTTTTTGCGAAATCAATCTATTCACATGCATTATGCGGTATGTCCATATAGGTTATAATGGACTGGATGTGCATTTGAAAGCTCTAAAAGCATATTAAGTTTAAAAAAGAGAGAAAAATGGGAAAAAATAAAATATAGTTTTGACTTTAACAAAAAGGGAAATGTCTGTTCCAGAAAGTTCACTTGTAATTGACTACACTGAGAATTATGTAGGGAGGTAGCATAACTACTGTAGATACTTTTAATAGATACATTTAAAAAGTAAATCAACGCGCATATAGCCTCTGGGAACATTTGTGACACAGCAGATTCTTCTCAGTAACATTTTCTGCATAGTGCTTTCATAGTACATGAATGAATGAATGGACAAAGTGGAAACGTTTAAAGATGAACACGTGTGACATTTGGGTACAGAAGGTAATGACTAACATGCCATAGACGCAAGAAATAAGGAGGGCAAATTACTGATAGCGTGCACTACTCGGATTTGCCAGATTAAATATTAGGTCCATCAGCTTGGAGCTATATTTGGCAGTTTCAGGAAAACATGAAAGCCTGCCCACAGCATGAGCTAAACAACGTGCACGCATCCTGCACTCTTTACCTCCACTGTCACAGCAACCTTTGGCGTCAGCGTACATTTTGCTATTTCGAGGTTGAATCTTTTTTTTTTTTTTTACACGTTAATTTATGTTGAAGTAAAGTGAAACCTTAGCGAGGACGGAAGTAATGTCACATGCTGCGTAAGGCAGGACGTGATTCCTGCGTGATTCCTTCGCTCAAAAGCCACAAGAACCGCGGGAATAGAGGGAGGACGACCACGTATAGTTTCAAACTGTAAAGCCATAACTTTGAAGAATTTCAGCAGCAATGAAGACGCACTCGATACTGCCCGCTTCCAACATTAGCCCGAGGTGAATATGAATGAAGAATGACCAATGGTAAGTAATAAAGCATGCCACTTAGGTACACGCAAATGGCCTACGATGGTGACGCACTGAATTAAACTCACTCAAAACCATTAAATCGGTGACAAGTTAGCGCTGATATCAGGTCAGTGTTAATGCATGAATGAAAATGCAAACATGCAAAGCCAGTACCAGGTAAAGCAGCGTAGTCTAGCGTATTCGAAACTTACCGGGAGCTGACTACACGCGCATCCGTCTCACTGCCTTCTCCGACGAGCGACTGGCGCATTTACTGTTTAGAGACTTCAGAGTTTTCCACATAGGGGAATTCCGTGCTAATAACTTCCCATGTGCCAGTAATAAGGAAACTGAAATAGAAATAGGATTTACGGGAATTAGCTCATGGTTTACAGGAATTGGTAGATTAATGAAAGACTTCTTGAAATCCCACTCAAGTTTAAGTTCAGTAAGATACCAAATCATGCATTCGTATAAACACGCGCAAACATATACATATGTTAATAAACTCCATACAGAAAGAACACATTGACTGCGCTAGAACCCAAGTCAAAAACAAGATTTCAGTTAGAGTACAGGTGACTAAAAAAGTAAAGTGATCCTACTGAATGATCTAGAGTGTGGAGTTCAGTACTTGACTAGTACCTGCTCATTTTAATTGTTTGGTTAGTTAAAAGTGTGTCAATTTCTAACTTCTTAATAGTATGTGGAGCAGTTTAACTGCTTGCTTTGCATTGTATTAAATAGCATTAACATGATTTGTTTTCTTTAAAAAAAAAAGTACATAGACATGTATAGTCAAGTAAAATGTGCAAACTCCTCTCTGAAATCAAGGGAAGTTTAAAGTAGTGTTGAATGAAAACTTTTGAGTACAGTCACAGTAACTCAGAATTGCGCTTGCATCAATGTACTATCAATATTTCAGTTCGAGGAAAAACTTCTGTGAACCTACTGGAATTACCAGGAGCTTTGCTTTCGTGACTTGTAAAATGTAGTTGGAGCATCGTCAAAGTCTCTGACTAAATGGGAAATAAAGAAACTTTTTGTGTCCACTCATGGCTGCTTCTAAAGGTACTTTGTCATAGTTATTCCAGTCAAGGAGATAAGATTTGGAGCATAGTTGTGGAGGTGCCCCTCCCTATTAATCGAGGGATACAAAGTCTAAGTCTATAATGTCAGTGTGGCTCTTCTGAAAAACTATTGGTGTGTCACCATTCACAGGACCTTTGAGGAACTGCATTGAAAAGATGCAAAAAGATGAAAAATGTCTCAAAGGTTTTTAAAGTCCTGCATTTCAACAGTAAAAATAAATTACCTGTAAAATACAGAAAATTCATGATTTGTTACTACTTGAAAGGATCATTTCAAGAGAATGATCTACAATCCTGAACAGGTGAACTAAAACACAAGGGCAATAGTAGAAGACGTGCAGAAATCTTTACAATTTGCTAAAGCATGTGTTCACGTGTGAGAGAATGCTAGTGCTATTTCCTTTCTACTTCTACGGCTCACCTCTGAGGAGAGGTGAAACTGAAGCTAAAATCCCAGCGCTACACTTGGAGCAAAGCCTCATCTGAGTTGTGAAGCACGGTGGAGGGACCATCATGTTTTAGGTTTGCTTTTCTACTTCAGGGTCTTGGTGGCTTGTAACTCCCTGAAGAGATCTCAAAATAGTACAAAGAAATTTTACAGGTGGAAATATCGACAAAGTTCTATGACCAGAAGCATAGGAATGTTATAATTAAATAGATCAAATTTTAGAAATATTTCATTCAGTAATGCTGGTAATTCAACAGGTTCACAAATCTTTACTTGCAACTCTGTGTAGTAGGTTCATGTGTAACATTATGACAATTATTTGATCGTTGCTTTTGCTTTTTTTGCAGTGTTTGGCTGTGGTTTAAAAATGTTAGGTGCATTAGTATGAACTGAAAAATGTATATAGTATTTTCTTTGTCTATCATGCAACCAGAGCTGTAAGCAGAATAAGAATGATCTCCGCTTTGGAGACACTAAATCGTGGTGCCTGGGAACCAAATTGTCCTAAATGTAATTTATTGTCAAGTGTGACGGAGGTTCCTCATTTGCTGTTAAAATGTCAAGACTGAATGAACATTTCAGCATTTCATTCATTGCTGGAAGGGTTGGCCACAAATTTCGGAACTGAACTGAACTCTGTCCGAAAACAACAGAAACCTGTTTTGAAGAAATACTTAATCCATGAGAAAACTTCTGCCACCGAGTGTCAGTGTTACAAACTCCTCAAGGCTTCATTTAAGACTGTCATTTTAGCTCATTACGTTTAATGTGACACTTTGGTAAATATACTTAAATCTGGAGAGATTAAGATTTGCTCATAAAACACTAACAGGCGGGACATGTTTTACGAAATTCAGCGAAAGATTCCATCCGTGACACACACAAATCTAATTCGACTATAAAAGAACTCGTTAACTTTTTAATCATTAATCCTAACAGTAGTAATCGCTCTTCTGTGATCAAAGGGACATTGTCATGCACCCACATATACTTGATTAGAAACCCTATTGCTACACATGTAGTGCAACGTATCTTCAACCTCATTTGGAAAAAAAAAAATGTAACTCTTCTGTCTCCTACACGTAGTCGAGATATATCGGGTTAAGTAATCAGCAGCATGCATTGTTTTTCTTGTGCATAACTCACGATGTGCAGTCTTTCCAGATTTGAAAGTCACCTGTGCATTTCACAGAGGAGGGCACAGCTGGTTGTTTAAAATGCTTTTTATGCAAATATGTTTTCGATTTTTTGGCTGACCGCTATGTTTCTGTCTCACTCTTTCTCTCCCTGTATCCCCCACACTCTGACCCTAAACCTTAAGCCTCTTTTTTGCATCAGTTTCCTTGTTCTCCTTCTTCTACCTCTCTCTCTGTCCTGTGGTAGTGTACAACTTGATAACATCAGAAGTGATTATATCACCATCATTCAAACGGAACTGCAGAGGACAGTAAGTAAGACACTGATTCTATTTTTATGCCAAGTTTGTTTTAGATAACTATTTGAACTTACCATGTAGACACGCTGCTTAACCCCAAACATTGTGTGCTCAGTTGTGACTCTGTATGTATACAGATATATATCAGCTGGGCTAAAGGTCTTTGTTGTAATCTAAGAAAAAAGCATTAAATCTCAGTTACAGCTCAAAGGCTAATTCCCCTCTAATACAGATGGATTGATGTATCCCAGGATTTCAGTATAGATCATATTAACTGTACAAAAATCATATAGGTGTATATATGACATATGATCACCAAGGACGAGATGGAAAAAGTGTAATAGGAAGCAGCCAGGTTACAGCAAAAAATTTAGACACTGGTGGTGGGAATGGTGCAAAAGGAGCTGCAACCTAATATTTGGCATCAGATGTTGGACTTTCACCTAATCCTTTTTAAGTACTGGCAAGAAATATCTGGAGGCAGCTGTACAGGGAGAAAGAAACTAAGGCAAAACAAGGAAAAGAAGCTGGTTTGCGTGTTTGGCATGAAACATGAAGTTAGAAAGAGTCACTCACATGCTATTTTAAGGTCAGCTGTGCAATTAAAAATACACTTTTAAGCCAGCTCACACTTCCTGTCAGTTTATAAATCTAACAAGTGGTCTCTGGAAACTTCTTTTCATACAGTGCAAGGTTACTACAGATATGCACTGTAAATAACTGCCATTTACTGTAACTACCTACTATTTACAGTTATTAGAAATTTAAACAGTATTCTGTGTCCCACTCATTTATTGACACATGTGTCTATATATATATATGTATATATATATATATATATATATATATATACTATATTAGTATATATATATATATATATATATATGAATTCACCCTATGTATATATATATGATATGTATATTGTATATTATATATGTATATGTATAGTATATATATATATATATATGTATATATTATATATACTATATATATATATATTAGTATATATGTATATTATATATATATATAATATATAATATATACTAGTATATATATATATATAGTGTATATATATATAATATCGTCTATCCTTATCCTATTATGTAATATGTATTATATATATATTGATATACTTATATATATATATATTTATATATATAAATGTATATAGTATATATATTAAATATATATCGAATATCATATACACCAGGCCTCTGGTAGAAGACCCGAGCTTTGAAGGATAAACCCCCCCAGGGGCGTGCTGCGGCTGATTTTTATATATATATATATATATACTATATATATATATATATATATATTTAAATATATATATATATATATAACATATAAACATATATATTGTTATATATATATACATATATATATATATAACTACAGTCGCCTCTCTGTTACAATAATAGAAAACCCCAACAATCAGACACCCCTTGAAAGCAAGCACTTGGTGACAGTGGGAAGTAAAACAATTCCTTTTAACAGAAAGAAACCTCAGTATTTACAATTAAGCAAAGTTTGGGGGGGTTGCCTTTAGTTGTTGTAAGGTTTTGATCGGAAGAAATATTGCTCAACATCAAAATTTTTCTCTTCTATCTATGGACACCACCAAAAATATTAAAAGCAATATGTCCTTCCAACATTCTGAAAAATAACAAAAAACACTAGTTGCTTTTTGAATGTTTGAACAATCTTTAGTGGTATGACTAACATTGACTACTTTATGTTTTGTTCATTCAAGACAGAAGAAATCACAAGCTTGCTGCAAAACTCAGACTGTTCAGTATTCTCACACAAGCTACGCAACTGCACACCAGGCAACGCAGTGAGTCATAATTATTCTGTATCTATCAGATAAAATGCATAATGATGATACATTTAGAAGGTAGCCCTTTTTAACATGCACCTGTTCACCACTGCTCTACACAGTCAGGCATTGCATTACCATAATCATAATCGTAGCTGGACCCAGGTGTTTACCTATGCAGCTTAATAATCATTTCAGATTTTGTAGTCGCTGATCGTACTGCATAGAGTTCATTGTTAAGTTTAAAAGGTCTCACCTCTCTTCTGCAGACGTCTGTGCGTACCTTACATAACCTAGCCTGCAAAATGCGGAGTTTACCGTTTCTCCAGATGACTCTACAACTGATCACGTCCGTCGAAATTTCGATGAGTTGCCATTGTCGTGAGAAATCAGTAAGTCTTGACTTTTTACACATTATCTGATGTTAAGAAATTTACCCCAAGCCTAACCCAGCCACACTATTAAAACCACCTGCATGATATTTTGAAGGTCGCCCTCATCTCGCCTCATGTTACAGCTCTTACCATTCAGTATGTGCACCTGTCCTCTGAGGGTGTCTGGCACTGAGGTGCTCTGGGTTGCAAAGTAGGTCCTCTGTGAATCAAGTTTATTCTGTACATGAATGCTCAGTTGGATTGGCCTTAGATAGTCAACACCTTGGACTATTTGGCCCATTTTTCAAACTCTTTCTGGTAGGGAAGATTACTGCTATGATTTTTGTTTCTATTGCAGTCATATTGCAGTGCTTTGCACTCTATGAGTTATTCACTTCATCTGACATCAGCCTAAATGTTGTAGCTGATTGGTGGAAACATGCAGTTTAAGTTCATGTTTGTACTTTAAACCTTGGAAGTGACCAGCTTAGGAAAGTATTTCTTTCAGTTTCTCTGACTGAGATGCAACATTTAACATTGACAACTGACGGAATGGAATGTTGGCTGGCTGAAGCGTTTTATCTTGCCAGACAGTGGATGACTCACTGACAGGTGATGAAGCTGCCCGGCTTTAAGAGTTAATTCAAACAGAAGACTGTTTGTTTCTTAAACTACTTTACCTGGTAACAGGGTATAAGAGTAGGAGAGACTCGAAAGAGGCAGGAACTGCAGATTGGTCTCTCATTGGTTATGCTTGTGGTAATCGCTCCTCACCTTACTGAGGGAGATAATTCAAAGAATGCTATAGAAGTTTTTTACACAAACTATCATGGGAAAAAACAGCCCAAGTAGTTCTAGATCAGTGACGCACCGTGTTGTTCACCCAAATTAAATTTTAAGAGTTGGATCAGAATCAGATTATATGATTCAGATTCATTGCTGAAGTCTGAGTCACACAGCAGAGCAAACCGCGGACTCGCAGAGTGCACCTAGTCTGACCAGACAAGCTCATGCTTAAACATAGTGGCTCACATTGTGACATATTTGATTTGATTTATTTTAAACAAACTTGCATTGTGCAAAGATCAGCCACTTTTCACTCAGTTCTTCATGATGCAGAAGCAGGGAAACGGGCACACACACAGCAGCTCTTGTGGAGTGTTCCCAGCATGCAGTGGTTATATACCTCACAAAATGTGGAAACATTGGGTCCTGGCATTTAAGCCGGTGTTACTTAATACTTGCCTAAACAGTTTAACATGGCAACAATAATACAGGAATACCACAGTAAATCTTCGAGATGTTGACTTGGGCTCCAAATCCCTTGGATGTGAATCCAACTGAGAATCGTTTTTCCAAATGAGTGAGCCTCACATTTCAGGACTATAAGGACCTGATGTTATCATCTTGATGTCTGATACTATGAAACGCCTTCAAAGGATTTGTGAAATCATCTCCGTGATAGAGCTGCCTTAGAAGTGAGGGAGACCTATGTAGGTGTTTGTAATGTTGTGACTGATGTGCTTTGAGTAAACCTCACATACATACTGTGGCATTGTATGGTGATTGTAATCTACGCTTCAGTTTTCTGTGCAAGGAGTTAAGTTGGTGTGTTTCAGTTCACAATAAGGGATAAATAGTCATCAATAACGTGCAGGCTACGTTGCTGTGACAGTACATATTTGCTAAGAATGCCTTCATAATTTATCATTGTAATGCTAATTCCTTACCTTTATCCACTTGACTCAACAATAATTAGCATGTGTCTGTGTTTTACTGACTAGATCAAAATGCCCACTGAGAGTTTAAAGAGGAGAAGGGGAGCAACAAGACGAAGGAGGAACGAGGGGACGAAAAACAGAAAGCAGACTAAAAAACTGTGCAAAGCCAGGGCAATTCTTTCCGCCATGACTGAATGCTACCAGATGCTAAACTCTCTATAAATGGATACCTGAATCCAAACTCAATCACAGCATGAAGCTCAAAACTTGCATGCGCTGTCAGTTCCTGTGCAGTATGCATTGCTTCGGTGGATTATGCGAGGAGGAGCTTCCACTTCATTTAAGCTTTCCTGTCAAGTACCAGTATATTTCTGTAGCAGCTGTTTCAGGTGTTGTATGACTACTGACTCTTCAGATAAGTTTCCCAGCCACACAGAAGCAAAATATTCAGTCAAGCGGAAATGAAATTCCTAAGTCTTCCTAATATCCTGATTTCCCACACACTAAGGACCAGCTGCATATACAACCTTTTATGCAGCATCATGTGGACTACAAACAGTTTAAGGTGCATGTTTTTTTTTATTATCACAGCAAAGCGTTTTAATAGCTGAAGTTGTGTTTAGCTATAAAAAGTGGATATGATTAACTTTAAAGGTGCTTAAACTGAACTTTGTTTTTCCAAGCACTTGCTACGACATTAACTTGCACTTAGTAGTGGCTGCTGAAGCATGACTAGGAAATATTAAGGTGCTCAGATATAGTTTTGCTTTCACTTTGGATTGGAATAACTAGCCCTGGCAGATCTTTTTTTATCTTGGTTATCTAAAGCTCCTCAATTTTTGTTTTTAATTTTCCTGTCCGGGGAGTTGTTTTAGGCTGTGTGTCAAGGTACGGTCTGAGATGACACTGTGTTGATTACTCATTGACAATGATTTATATATTAAAAGCATGCTTTGCCACAGTTATTTAAGCTCAGGTCACAGACCTTTTTTTTCCTATCCTGGGATATAGCTACAGTACGAGCTTTTACTGTCACAATCAGTTGGTGCTCTGATTAATGTTATCTACCTAAAAACTTTTTTCCCTTTTTACACAATTATAGAAAATATAAGCATGCAACCTTTGCTACATTTTGCAGCTATTTTCAGCACAGCAGCTATTTGTTTCCCGTCATGTAGCATACATTATGTACTACATAACATTATGTTGTTATGTAGCTAACTTCTGTCTTTAAACTGTATATTTAAGCTGATGACTAACATTGTATATAACATGGCATACTATTCAAAAAATATATTTATATCCCAAACAAAGATAAGGTGTGTGTTACTTATTAGTCAGACTCACAATTACAGCTGTCTTCAAAGAGGTTTATTGATGGTGGATGTACACGGCATTTGGTGCACAATCATATCCAGTCTAACAGCTGACGTTATCATTACAGGAAAACGCAGCCCTCCAGTAGGCTTAAACCTTTCTCGTGACGTAACGTGAATATAGTTTGTTACCGGTAATAAATGCCCTACTTAGATAATTAATCATGCACCTCAAGGAGAGATTTGTCCCCGCTCTTCCAAGTCTCACCATAAAATAACCTATGTGGGGGTCATCAAGCAAAGGTCGACAGCAAAATTACTTTAGTGTCACCGTATCGTTGATTCTAAATACCTTAATGCACTGAACACTGACTCAGTAGAAACACTGCTGAGAAAGGAAAAAAAAAAAAAGCAATTTCAACACACTGAGGTGTGTTTTGGTTTCACACAATTCCAAATGAAACCTATTTTAATTCTGTAGAACATAAAAGAACAAACAAAAACCATACAATCACTGTTCAGTCAGTAAAAATGAAAAGGAATAAGAAAATAAATAAATGTATAAACCTAGTGGGAATAAAGGGAATGAGTAAATGCTACATTTGGGTATAATGTATATGGGATAACAGGTTTTTCCTGTTAAGTGACCTTAAAGGGAGCACTGACCTGTAACAACTCAACCTTTTTTGGATTGGTTCCTAAGAAAACAGGGTGATAAGATAAAAATTTGAAGCTATTTTCTTTAAAAAAAAAAAAAAAAAAATCACACTGCTTTCTTCAGTAGTCGTTATTATTGCACATCAATGTGGAGACAGGTGGGGTTGAGGAATGCACTTCAAATCAAGGGCTGAAGAGCGATAATGATGCAGGGCAGTTAATCTCACCTCTAATCAGCCACCCAACATGTTTCCTTTCTTTTTTTCCAAACCCACTTTTAATTCATCTTTCCTCTACTCCCTTCTAAAGATGCATAATATTTAATAGCTTCCTTCCAATGACCAACCAACTCTCCTTTGCTGGAAATATTTATTTCTCACAAATTCTTAAACCCTCTATGACCTGTAGTTTCATGGCAGTAATGCTCATTTTATAAGTGCATGGAAACAGCAGCAATGCTGTGAGCAAATGAAGCAGTGAAAGAGAAGCTACTTACGGGATGTGCTTGTAAAAGCCACATCATGATTTAAACAGATTAATCTGTGTACCAAATCTGTTCGGCACAGAGATCAACCGGTCACTAGTCAATGCAAAACACAGTTGCTAAGTGCACTCCTTATTGTAAGTTATGCAATGAAATTTGGATAATATTCAGTGTGACTGCACACACCATCTTTACTGCCAGGAAATAAGATCAGTGTGGGAAAATAAAGATGGAATTAATTACTCTTTCACCTTTCCCTCAATTCTTATTACCTAAATCCTAACCCTGCTTTCGTTTTCTTCTGACTGCTATCAAATACACATCCTCCTGACCCCACACTCGCAGCAGAATTTGGCAGATTCAACAGGGTACTTTGTCCCACAAGCGTGACAAAACTTGCTCTTCATTCCGCCGTTCCCAACATCGTTCGCGCCATCTATATCATTCCTGAGAAAACAGAAAAGACAGCAGCAACTTTAGAATTTGTGCAGACAAAGTTGCGACTAGTGAAACGTCAGGGCAAAGATCTATTTGGATTTTACACGTCTTTATACGAATGTCAATGCCACTTAAGCCGATGCCAAGTAAGCTGGATTATCCCATATTTCCCCTCAGCTTGATTAAATGGGAAATTGTTTTGCTCCAAAGCAATAACGATAATCAAAGCAACCAGAAGCTAGAGACGTATGGGTGGAAAGGTTGATATAATTGTGCATGCAAGTTTCTTTTATTTAAATGGATGTGCAGGTAAGACTCATCCCTAATTTTTTTTTTTTTTTAAAAACTTTCTTAAAGTAAAATTGAAATTTGCACATTCTTAGTCAAATTAGAGGTAGTATATGTAATACTTCACCAAGCCACCAGGGGTCAGGAGAGGTCACCAATTGATTTTCTCCACTCTTTCTGTGGAGGTTATGACTTAAGACGTTTATTCACCTAGATATGTAGGAGTCTACTTTCTTCTTGTTGAGTCCAGTCTGAGCGTTCCTCACAGATCCATAGCCAGAACTTGCTACTCGGGATTTACTTCCCACACTGACAGAGATATCAGAGAAAAACAAAAAGAAAACCAGGACAAGGATGTTTCAAAGTTATTCATTGAAATAAAGGCTCTCTGTCGAGACACCGCGTAGACATAATGTCTTGGATACTAAGAATAAAAGTGAGAAAGCGAAATGAAACTGTTGTTTTTTGGCAGCCTTGCTCTATTCTCGGTTATGACGTTGCATTTTGTTTTGACTCACATTGTTCAAAATGACACTTCAATCAAAATAAATCCGGGCTGTAAAAACATGTACAAAGATTGACTGTTCCAACAGATATTTGAATAGACACAGCTGAATGCACAATAAAAGGTAAAAAAAACAGTACCCACTTGACATCAGTAAATAAAAACCTGTCTGGACTTGCCCACAGTATTTAAAACACATCTGCGTATGTGTACTAACCCTGACGGTGGGCTTGTGAGCCCGGAGGGATTATTCTTCACTGAACCTGTTGAGGAGGCCTTACTAGATGGGATTCCTTAAGTGAGAGAGAGGGTGACACAAATGAGGACAATGCACATATTAGTTTTGTTTGATGCAATGAAGTCAGTCACAAATTCACAATATGGGGGGGGGTGATGAGGAGTATAGCACTGTGTCTCGTACCAGTGGGCTGTCCAAGGCCTGATCTTTGGGGTAAACGAGAGGAAGCTGAAGGGATGGTTGACACAACGGGGGTGTTGGCCTTCTTTGCAGCAGCAGGAGGCTTGTACTGAAGACAGAGAGAAGGCAATAAAAATAACTACTTGGTACAAAAGATCAGCTATGGATATCATGGCTGAAAAGTCATTAACATATCATATCATATCACTATACGACCACATAAGCAGAACGGCTTGTGGTTGTAGTGTTTGTGATATGCACATTGTGTCAATGCTTGGCTCTAAAACGGGTTTTAAAACTGCTATCTGGAAGAAAATCTCAAAGCTATAAAATGGGGAGAAAAAGAACTGCAACACATAACAAATCTAAAAACACGACACAGCAGGGAGGCTCAGTGACATAACGATTAACGACTGAAGGCTTTTTATTACAATGGGGAATCAGAGCTCTTAACCAGAAGGGTTTAAACCCTGCTGTTTTTATTGGCTACCAAATTAACTCCCTAGCTATGCACCATAGCTGTTGCTAAGTAACTTGTAATTCTACATCTGCTGCAGAGTGGGAGTCCCACCATGGTAATAAAAGACAATGATTTAAAAGGAAAACTTCTTAATTATCAGCAATTAGCCATAACACAGAAGTGCCACACATATCGATCATCAGTATAGGTTTTGTAAACCTACCTATGAGCATTTTTTAACATTTTATGTTTAAAAAACTAACAACAAACTATTTTCTGTTTAGATCCATGCTCAATCATCCAGGTAAGGAAATCCCAAAAGACTGAAGAAGTCACTTGAATGAGTGATGAAATGTTTCTCCCACTTAAAATGCTATGTCCAGATGAACAGAATCAACTTTTTGGGAACTATTGTCTGTTTAATTTCAAATGCAGTCCCCTCTCCTATCCGTGCGTGCGTGCGTGCGTGTACCTGTGTGCGACCTGGAGGCTTTTTGGCATCTCCTGACTTGCTTTTGTTGGGCATTCGGGCGGCCTGCTCCTGGCAGAATTTGATGTGTCTGTCAGCTGCACTCTCGTTGAACCTCCGCTGACAGTAAGGACACTGGATATAGTCTAAAGGGAGACAAGGTAGTGGGAAAATATACATGTAGCTTTTGTAATTGAATCCTGTATACAGAAATACTACTATCTGATGAAGTGGTGACTTGAACTTTTCATTTGCAGCTGTCACCACAATTAGAGCTCGACTTGTATAGGATTTATACGAGCAGTAATCGTGCTGATATTTAGTCATTTAAAATTATTTCTTTCCTTTTAGTGACACAAAACATTCTGAACATTTCTACATTAATGTTGTTATTCATGAGTCCTTACTACAATGACAGTATACTTTAAAAAGTAATATTGTTTGATGGTTGCAACAAGTTTTAGATTACTCATTTGGACTCTGCCCATGGTAATCCAACAGTGGAGTTGCAGCGTGCCCTCTGGTGGACAAACCATACATCCTCAGCACTCATCAACGCTTCAGTCATTGAAGGGTGTTTCTGTATTGCCTTCACGTTTTAAATTTTTACTTACACAATGTTATAAATGCAGATACCGACATGTCAGTCAGCCTCTACATTACATTTCAGCATTTAGTAATAACTGTCTGCAGTGTCAAGTCCATTTTGCTAAAAATTTCATTGCAGCGACTCAACATGGTACTCAGTAGTTTCTATGGTCACCATGTGCTTGCATACAATGTTGGGGAATGCTCCTAATGAGATGACAGCTGGTGTCCTGAGGGATCTCCTCCCAGATCTGGACAATGGGAGAGCCCCCGGACAGTGTTCGGTCCTCCAGCAACTGCCTCCATACTCTCGCTATGTGAGGCTGGATATTATCATGCACCAGGAGGAACCCAGGGCCCACAGCACCAGTGTAGGATCTGACAGTAGGCCCAAAGATTTCATCCTGATACCTAACTGCCAGTTGAGCGCCACAGTGCCTTGCAGTGAGCACAGGGCCTACTAAAGGGGCCACAGGCCACCCTCATAGAATAACCGTTAGTCTCCTGGAATCTCCACTCTTCAGGCTGTGCTGGGAGCCACAGCCAACTTTCAAGGAATGACGTGTGGACGACCTGTGCAGGGTCCAGGTAATCACCTCATGAAATTGATTAAAAAGTGCTAATTTTTTCGAGCAGTGTATGAGACTTTTTCACAATTCTTTTATTAAGATACAAAATCTTTTTTTTTATAGTTTTTCCATTTGCTTCTAGATAACTAGATGTTACCTGGGTCATAAGTAGGAGGAGGAGGTGGGGGTAATGGTCCTCCATCTTTTATGACCTGACCGATGGTCTTTGCAGCCCGGATGGTGGCGATGAAGTCCTCGTGTTTCTTGCGCCAATTTGACGGCTTCTTCGGGGGTTCTGCCTGACACGACAACAACATGAGAAAAGAGATTCTCTGTTACAGCTGTTTGCTGCTATAGTTTGACAATCTAATATTAAGAAAATACGATTAAGCTACTCTCTTACCGAATGTTTTAACTCAACAGGTTTCACAGCGAATATGTAAAGATTGCATACGCTTATCTAAGCTTGCACTTCCCACTCTTACCCTAAAAAACCCCCAACAACTATGTTTCCATAACAAAAGTACAAGTCTTATCTAAAGTTGATGATTAGCGACAGAAATAGTTCAGTGAGTTCAGTTGTCTAAAGTGGATCTGAGGCAACACGACAGCCTCTGTGACTTTCTATTTCTCCTGTGTAGTTAAAGCATTCAGACACGTTTGTCTGACAAACACAGGTTACTTGGAGAGAGCTAAAACTACACTTTATTATATTTTCCTCTTTCCTAAACTGCTGCCAAAGAAAAACTAAACAAAACAGAATTTGTCGCATAACTAGACGTTTGTCCTGTTCATATCACAAAGCTGAAAATTCCAGTGGGAGCACAGAGTGAGTACGCAGGAGTTAGTTGAAGCCAAGACCAACTGAACAACAGCCAGGCAACAGACTGGGCAAGATTACTTCACTGACTGATACTCATGAGACAGTTTCTCACAGAGAAGAAATAAATGAAACAAATACAGTTTTTAGTTGTTAAAGAGTAATCTGAAGGTTCAAAGCAACCGCAGCAGCTGAACTAGAAAATATAGCATTAAGGCTGTCACGTTAAATGAAAGAGAAAAGAACACTGGATACAGAAGGATGCCAGTTAAAGACAAGAGGTATGAAAGGATTTTTTAAATTAATATCACCAACATGACTTGGCACACCCACAGACTATTCAAGCCAATACTTCAAGGCAAACAAAGTTTTTGTGTAGCCAGAAAAACAGTGAGGGAAAGCCTCGCGGGCTTCAACAGATTATCTGTGCCGCTAAAAATTATATCTATGGAAAGGAGGGACAATTGAACAAAAAAAAAAAAAAAAAAAAAAGATAAAAGCAACTTACTCTTTCAGTAGCAGATGAACTTTGTGACTGAAATACAATTGAAAGTTGTTTACATTGTAAAAATAAACTGTCGACATAATACACTGAATGTGCTGCATGGAAATGAAAATTCATAGGCGCCACTCAACACCATAAGCGCCAAAATGCTGTGTACATTTCAAAGGCTGATTCTTTTCTGGGTCCTCCCTGGAAAGCCTTCATGTGACCCAGATTATACAAGGTTTATCTGGATAACTTGTTTGCAGAGTAATATAGAGTTTTCGGATAATTAAGGAATATGAACAGCATTGTTTCCTTTAGGTGTTGTATTATTGGATACAACGCTGAATAAATAACCTCAGATTAAAAACAGGTCATTTTTTAATAATAAAAGCTGGACGTATTTATGAATGAATAGATTACCTAAAAAAAAAATGAACAACAGCGTTTTAAGCAGCATGTGAGATCCAGCTAGTTTTCTGACTTTAGGCAATTTTTTTTCAATCCTGTCAATAGTCAAAATGAACCACTGCTGACAATTTATGTGGATTTCCATCGCTCTGCTTAGGTGAAGGCTTACCTTTGGTTTGATGGGTTTCAGTACGGGGATGTCTGTTCCCTCAGCTCTTTGTCTGCTGGAGTCAAAAACCTTCCTCTTTTTAGTTGCTGATTTTTGGCAGATTTTTGAGTGCTTCTCCTGTTGAAGGAGGACAATGTGCACAAAACATGACAAAACATTTTTATTTGTTTTTAACACCACTGGCATCACTTAAGATTTGTATCTGTCTTTTACTATAATTTAAGTTTTCAACTATGTTTTCCTAAATGAATTTCTTGAAAGAGGAGGAAACTTTCTTTCAAACATTTCAAGCTCAAATTTAAATGAGTAACATTAACAACACCAGTAACCTCCTCAAAGTTGCAGCCAACTCTCTGAAGCACACTAATGTCTTCCTGATGGAGACCCAAACATATATTGCTATACATATCTAGAATAATACACCATGCTTTAATGCAGCCATTATCTACTAATGAGGCAAAGTGCTTGCATAAGAGCACATATTTGGTTGTTTACCAGAAGATTCTCTTCAAATTAAACACCAAAAACTTTTATAGCTTTGATGTATTAACTCTGTAGTATGTTTTAGTCATTTCAACACAATAAGCAAAGGAACAGAGGATTTTGGGGGAGTAAAAATCAACTCATATACACTCATTAGCGACTCTGTTAGGTACACATTAGTACCAGGTTGAACCCACTCTGCTGGAAGCATAATAACATGCCATGTTATAATCAGAATATCAGAACATGTCATGTTATCAGTAGATGGGTACACTGTGGTAATAAAGATCAGGAACAACACTCAGGTAGACGGCTGTATCAAAACTATGCTATCCTCCACACCATTACCAGCAACCTGAACTGCTGACACAAGGCAGGATTGATCCATGCTTTCATGCTGTTTACATCAAATTATGAACCTGCCATCCAAACAATGCATCAAAAACTCGTGAGACCAGGCAACACTTTTTTGCAAATTGTAGCCTTAGTTTCCTGTTCTCAGTTGATAAGTGTGGCACCTGGTGTGGTCTTCTGCTGTTGCAGCCCATATCTGAATGTGCTTGTGCTCTGAACACAGAAGAGCATTCAGAGATGCTCTTCTGTGTGCCTTTGTTGTAACAAGCAGCTATTTTAGTTACTGATGCCTTCCTATCCGGTTGAAGCAGCTGGGCCTTTCCCCTTTGATATCTGACATCAACGAGGCATTTTGACCCAGATAACTGCCACTCTGTGAATATTTTCTTTTTTTCTGTCGATTCTCTGTAAGCCCAAGAGATGGTTATATGAGAAAATCCCAGTAGATCAGCAGTTTCCGAAATACACAGATGTGTCTATCTGTCACCCATAACCATGACTCAAAACCACAGTCTTTTCGCCTATGATGATGATAATAATAATAATAATAATAATAATAATAATAATAATAATAGATTGCATTTATATAGCGCTATGACACCACCCTTACCTGCATGTGCTGCAGACAGTGCTGAGAGTACTGTATTGCTGAACATGTGTGAAGCCATCCTTTCTAAACAATCTCCATTCACTGATTTAGTCAATCAAGTGAAAGAAAATGCTTCACATGATACAGTCCAGTTGATACTTGTGCTACAATTCATCTATATACAAAAAATGGCCCACTATGAAATTAATTAAAGAATTAATTAATGACCAATATTTCCAACTCCGCTTTATGGGAGAACAGTACTACTAGAGACGTTTCTTAGTGAAATTTTTAAATCAGAGTCTTGAATATCACAAATTTGTTCAAACAAAAAGCATTTCTGCTTTGATAAAACTTTCAACTCCCCTACAGAGCTCTTCACAGGACCCTGCTAGCTATCTGGATCATAGCCAGGGACACATTATTATTGAACAAACAGCTGATACCCTGTCAGCTGAGAATTAATGTGGTAAATACTGTCAGCCAGGCGGGTTAATCACAGTGCGTGATCAACACACACACAAACACACACTTAAAGTGTCTGCGATTAAAATATTGTCCTCTTAGAACAGTGTTACACATTGTTTTGTTTTGTTTGTTTGTATTAAGAAATGTCAGAAATGAGCAAGAGGTGGTTTGTTTTTTTACCAGGACTTTGGGGAAGAAAGATCTTTTACAGATATTACACTGAATCCGATCGTCAACCAGAGAAGCTTCGCCATCTGCAAGAATAACAGAACAAATTCGGTGAAGGTTTAAAGGTCAAAAATGGGCCATAACGGGACTAAACAAACGTAGGAAGAAAAATAATGACCCAGTTAACATTTGATACAAGGTAAATACTTTCGCGGTCATAAATTGTGTTCTTCTGCCACAGTAAAGGCAACAATGTTTTATTGTTGCCTTTACTGCTCAATCTACACGGATACTTCAAATTTACTGAAAATGGCTGGAGGAAAATAGTCAGATTTAGCTAAGTTTAACGTACAGAGTCAAACACTTCGAAGTATTACTGTACACATAGAAACGTATTTAATATTAAAGGTAAGCAGTCTCCGAAGATTCATTGATATACACGCTTTAAACCATTCATTTAAAAAGTGTTATTTGTTAGGAGTTTGCTGGTTAGCCGGATAGCTCCTCTAGCTAGGAATCGCACCCATTCAGAGAGGAGGAGCAGCTAGCTTCATCTTTGGCCCTGACGTTACCTAGCATTACTTGGGCTAAAACCCAAACAAAAAGGAGGTCGCTATACAAAACTGTTCATCTAAAGGAGCCGCGAACCCCAAAGCGTCCCCTTGGCAGATAAAAACGAAATGCTGAAATCCCAAATTTGCCATAAAAGGCTGAAGTAAACACACAAACAGCAATATCGCATACCTTCAAATTCTTCCATCCTTAGGTTATTCCTTATCTGGTCCTGTTGCCGTTGTTCGAAAACGGCCAGACGTAGACGGAAAATACAAGATGAAAGCCCCTCTTCATTTCCGGCTTTGCTAAAACGGGAGAAATGTTTTGTTTTTACCCATTTATCCTGTAAGGAAAATTACTTTAATTTCCATATAAATTTATTCTGCAGTGTATTGTGAATTACTGATGTCCTGTGTAGATCTACATTTTTGGTTTGTCATTTTTTTGTGTTTTGTTTGTTTCTCTGTGACTTATGTCGACACTACTGGGATGTTATTATCCTGTTCCAATTCCCAATGGCAGGTAATTATCTTGACACTACTGATCTTTGGCTACCGATAGCAACTGGGTTGTCCGACGCCGCTCGGTGAGCTAACATGCGAGTATTTCATTGGTTATTACTGCAGTGTTTCTGATGGAGTGTTCAAGTATGCACTGTTTATTTTGGACAGCAGGTGGAGCGTGGGAGGGAACCTCTGTCATGTTTCCCAGTATTACTCCTAACCATCAATTTTTGGGGGAGTTTGCGTAGCTCAGTTTTCGCTGGAAACTAGCAAATGTTGCTGTTACTGGGACGAAATCTTTTTATTTTTATTTTAGCTATAGAAATAAATAAAAAATGAAATGCTATTAGTTATTAGTGCTGTTATTGATACAAAGTTATGTTAATGAATAAACGGGCTGGTAGCTTTAACTTGCATCTCAGCTTTGTTTGGGGATGGTCATTTACAGAAACTCATTATATCAACCAAACAACAAAACTAGTGTGCTCCTTTGCTGCTTTTGTTAGCTCAAACACTTGCGCAGAACAAACACTCGGAAGTTCCTCATTTGCCATACTGACAACATGTGTCATCTGAATGGAGGGATTCATGGACAGATGCTAAGAGGGCACAGCAAACATGTGCCTTTATCACAAGAGGGACGTTGTTTCAACACTGACTCCCTTTTGTGTGATCTCTCGCACCACACACACGCCCAAGCGCGATGCCTTTTCACCATTTCAAATTATAGCAATGGGATGATAACCATTCGCTAAGTCCTAATGTATCCTAACCTTTAAATAAGGTAATGATTTTACACACACATTCACGGTTAAACAATGCACTTGGCATTAAAGTTTATGGCTCTCACTTTGTCAGATATTAATTAATGAATGTGGTGCAAGTATTCCTATTAGTAATCCTATATGTGTGTTTATTTATTTATATGTATATTTATCTATCTAATGAAATAAAGGAGTATAGGTAAAGTAGCTGGTAATGAAAAACTTTTCTGTTAAGCGTCCCTTCAAAGTAATGCGGTTTTATTCTGAAAGTAATACTCGGAAGTAGCTTTGGTGTGCTTGATTTGCTTAACGTTGGTAAATTCTCTTTCATGAGCGCATTGGGGAATACCGAAATGGCAAGATCCGAGCCGATGTGATTGACCCCTGCGAATATTCGGAAGCCATTTATTCTAAACAGGTAGCATACCTTGTTGATCATATTAAGAATAATAACTGCAGGTGCAAAGTGCGCAAAGCTCGTAAATGCATGTGTAATGTTAATATCATGCAGGCTACGTTTACTGGCACTGACCTGGCTCTGTGGGGGTCTTTGTCATCAAAGACAGACGTATGGATCTTGGTTTTAATAATGAATTTAAACATTCAGATTCTCCTGCAACCTTAAGCTCGTCTGTATTTAAAGGTTATATGTCTTCAACAAAAAAGAAAAGAAAAAAACTAGCGCTTTATTATTTAGGACGCCAATGCGCGTGACTGCATCGCTTTAGTAGGTGATAAATTGTCATTTTGGACAAATAGTCTTTGTGGAGTGACGTCACACTCGTGCAGACTCGCGATGAACTTTTAAATAAATCACTTAGCTAAGATTGCCTTAAATGTGTACGAGCTGTAGAAATAACAGTAAAACATTTGCACGCTCTTACAGGGAGGGTGTTGACAGCTGCGCGTGAATCCGTGGTTAAGGAGAAATTGTTTACCTTTGCGCTTGGCACGGTGATGTTGGAGTATAGCATGTCTGTTTGTGTGAGACCTGGCATCAGTCCCAGGTATGCCCAGGCACCTAGAATAACTCTGGCATAAGTTTCTGGGACTCGTTCATGTACTGCCTTTATCACTGCTAATATTCTGTTTGGCAGCATAACAAATCAAACAGCTGCAAAGCAGGAGTAGACTTTTTCTCCCCCCCCCCCCAAAAAAAAAACTTCATAGTGAAAGACAGAGACGGTTGGCCTGTTGTATTATTCAGCGATTTGATCATTTGTTTGGAGTCTGTGCTATATATATTGTTGTCCAGGCCAGCTGAGCTCTGCTTCCCACATGGGAGTACACACACTGTACACACACATATACACACAAACACACAGCTGAGTTGCCAATGTTCTAATTCATGGGTACAACAGTCTGACTAAATTATGTAAACTGGCAATTAATATTTCATAGAATATGAGCATAGGAAAACACATCGCAAAATGTCCTGTCACTTCTAACTTCAACTTCTAACTTCAAATAAAAACACAGCTTCAGTGGAAAAATGTCTGCACGTACAGATCTGTAATCCAATTAGATTCACTTATGTTCTATCATAAGACAGGTTCTTTATTGAAAGGTGTGGGGAGGAATTTTATATCTCATTTGGCTCTACCAGTAAAGCTGGGGACATTTACTCATGCAAGCTAAATTAACCTAGCTGTTTACATGATTTAACGTTTCAAATGATATTTCTTCTTTATTGCTAATAAACCTGGAGAGTTATACCTATGACCACAATCCAGTGCCCCGATTCTCATATTAAGTTAGAGAACAGCCGTCTTATCTCTCTTGCTTCCCCACACGTTTGGTCTGTCAGTCGTACACGGACAGCATCTGCCGGGTCTTGCCCATCTTGACACCATTTTGAGAATGACAGCTGAGTGGGAGGGTGCTCAGACGATGACAGAGGAGGTTTCCAAAAATAGCCACAGTCCACCACAACTTTCTCTAGAAATAGCCACAAATGGATGTGAAAGTGAGTCATTTTTAATATATACTTATATATAATTTAAAAATCCTGCATTTGACTTGGGGAAAATCAAACCAACCTTTTTTTGTGACTGAGTGTTGTGATGTCTTCTGAGGTTTTTTTTATTTTACTTGAAATTTTTAAAGTAGTGGCAGCAAATAAGTGCAGATATCCAGACTGATACAGCCAAAGAAATCTCATCATAGCAGATTTTAATTGAAAGAAATGTGACAACAAAGCCTGAATCTGCTCAGTGCTGAAGGACAGCCTCAGCCAGACAGATTGCTACAAAGGGCTTGAATATAAGCAGAAGGATTTAACCTAAATCTCCGGGGCAGCACAGCTCCCATCATGCTCCATGTGATATGGCAGTACTTTCCTCATTCTGCTTTAATGACCTCTTAGTGTGCTCTTTGGTTGAAGTAATGCATCAGATTGTCTGTTTATATTTCCCATCGCTCTCCTCGGCATTCCTTCTACTGAATTTGCCTCCTCTGTATCCATGGTGTCGCCCGTACCCTAGACTGAGATTAAAATAGATTAAGCAGGGATTAGGTCATAAGATAAGCGGAGGGAGGGATGTATTCAATGAGTGTCTACATAGCCTGCTGCGTTACATTCTTCTTGTCAACAAAAACTGGTGTTGCCATTGTGTAAAGTTATTTAGGAGAAGCTGCACAAACTCTGTCCATTTCAGCGATCTTTCCATAAAAGCGGTGCAGATTCCATTGTCTGTGGGTCACTGTGCACCTGTGCAACTTGAAAAGGTGTGTCAGTGTGTGCTGCTGTGTGCGGCAGGCCCTGCTATGGTGTGTCAGCGATGACGGATGTGGAGGCGACCTATGAGGACTTCATCACCTCTCGACGATCCGGCCGCAGGAATGCCATACATGATATTCCAGACGCTCCTGGAGAACCGGGCACCACTGATCTGTCGGAGAGTCTGGCACAGCTCAACATCAACAAGTCAGGTGAGCAACATGATGAAGAACGAGAACATATTTTGATGGCGACATTAATAATTCATCAGGGTAGCAACACATGGCCTCCACTCTACTTGTGTTGAGTTGAATTCTCTGGATTTTCCAACAGTGGAGAGGACAATCAAGACTTCATAGCTTAGTTCTGCAGCGTGTTTGGAAATTGTAAATAGAGCTCACAATCACAGAGCCACTAATCTTTGGCTCTCTTCCAAAGTGTGTCTTTTGTCCTGTCTCTCTCCCAGATGGCTGCCCCTCCCTTGGTCTAGTTCTACCGGAGGCTTCTTCCTGTTAAAGGGAAGTTTTTCCTTCCCACTGTCACCAAGTGCTTCCTCATAGGGGGGGGGGACGACATTTGATTGTTGGTGTTTTGTCTCCATTATTGTGGGGTCTTTACTGTACAAAATAAAATGTCTTAGGATGATTGTTGTTCTGATTTCACACTATATAAATAAAATTTAATTGAAGTTCTTCAGTTACATTTTACATATATGTCTTCTTTGGTGACTTAGTAGCTGCATCGCTGACTTCCCCCGTAGTTAAATGTGCATGAAACCGACTGTCCCACTGTCCTCTTTCTTCACTGTTTTCCAGGTGATGAGGGAGAAGATGCTGAGAAAAGCCAGAACTCTCCATCTAAAGAAGAGCAGACTCAAGCTGAGGGAAGCTAAGTGCCACCGGACATTTATGGACTCGAGCAGCCACTTCTTTTAGTCTATCTGCTCCCTGTATGCTAAGCCTCTGACTGGCCAGTTGCATCTAATGACTGTGAACAGCAAAATCCTCTATTGCCACTATCCTGCCATCAGGAAGTCATCACTATGGCAACCACAGCACAGTCTCTCTCTCGCTTGTAATTGGGTGTGTTCCATTTTCCTTAAAAACCTTCCTTCCTTTGCTGCCTTTTGTCCAAGGCTGCTGATATCAGATTGGATGTAATTTAAGGTGAACTAAACATGATGTCAACAACCAAAACCAGCCCACTTTTGACTGTGAGTGGTTTTGAGTGGAAAGTGGAGGGAGGAACGGAGGCTAGTAAAAGGTTTTTAGAGCAGCCACAGAATTAAAATTTGTCTTCCCCTCTCCTCGTCTCCTTCAATTAATCACCGCTGATGCGACTGAAACACAGACGTCAACTGGACATCCACTCATCTTGCCTCGACGCCTGAACACGTGCTCCCTTCATAAGTACTCGCTATTGACCGTTTCCTATTTCCATGGATTCGGATCCATCTGTGTATTGGATTGATGGACGTTATTCAGCAACTGCACTCAGCAGCTCAAAGGCCCTGTTGTACTTTGTTGCATGTATCCATGTCAGGTGTAATATCTAAATGGGTATTTTTTTTTTTATCATTTCAGACATCCCATTTTAAGTATTACATTGATGGTCAAACACGGTCCAGTTCTTTAAAAAAAGTAAGAGTCAGATCACAAGATATAAAGCTTTTTTTTCCCCCAAGTTAGGAACAGCAACATGTGCTGCTCGATCTGTCACAGGCAAAATGAGCGTCTGTTTAGTTTTGGTGGCTGGCTTCACTGCACCTTGCTTTACTCTTGCACACTGACCCATAACTTTGAGTTCACTATAACTATTCACTAGAATTTTGTTGTTTGCACTGCCAGGCCTCACAAATGAAGCCAGGGAGTACAAATGTGTCCCCCCTCCCCCCCAAAATTGTGGGTTTTTTAAACCATTTTTCTGCCAAGGCAATATTGTCTTTTGCTTTGCTAATTCAGGACCTGGCCTGCTTGCCATAATTGATGGAACCACAAATTCAACTCTTTACAAGAAAATACAGAAAGAGAACCTCTGCCCATCGATTTGTGGTCCAAACTTCAAGCACACTTGGGTTATTGAGTTGGACAGTGTTTCAAAACACACCAGCAAGTCCACCTCTGAATAGCTTGAAGTAACAAAATGAAGGTTTTGGACTACTATTGAGATGTTTTTCATTAAAAGCACTGTTCATGCTCATAAAACCCTCCAATGTGGCTGAATCAAAACAATTCTGCAGAAAAGAGTCACTCAATGTGAATAACTCTTTGCCAATACTTGCAAAACCTCTTGCCTGCAGTTCTTATTACCAAGGCTAGCACAACCATTTATTAGGCTTAGGGGTCATGTACTGTTTCACACAGGGCCAGGTAGTTTTGGATAGCTTTTTTCAATTAATAAAATAAATCATCATTAAAAAAAAAAGGCATTTTGTTTGCACTCAGGTTATCTTTAGGAAAATACTTTTTAATGACACTGTAAACAATGAAATTGATTGGTTGGAAAGTAGGATTTCACCCTTACTGTACATCTTATACTTTAATAATTGTAATCAAAACTGGCCTCTCACTGTCTGCAAATGTGTCCAGTCTAACTTGTGATGGCCTTGAATGCAGGAGTTCTCTCCTTACATGCAGGGTATCTACACACATTAAGTGGTTATCCCACAGTTTAACATTGCACTGCCATGTATTATACCCAAGTTTGTAATTTGGTTGTGGTGGACATCAAGGAAAAACATTTATTTGCTACTTAAGATTTGGAAATTGCACTACTGAGTGTGGTTTATTAGCGTGTGCTGTATGTGTAAATTTTCGTAGATGAGACGACTGTTAGAATAAATATTATGTACTGGCACACTGCCTGTCAGTTTTGCAATTCCCTTTTGTAATCTGTTTTCACAGTTTCCTTTTAACACCATTACTGTACTCTGTCCAATTTAGATCTACTAATGAAATATGTGGGTATGCATTCTAAAAATGCTTTATTACTTTGTTATATCTGACCAGCTGATCATTTTGTTTCTTTGTTTAGTTACCTTCACAAAGGAGGTTATCTTTTTGCTACCGTTTCTAGTTATTTGTCAACAGGATTATGTATCTGCAGCTACCTGGATGATTTTCAGGAAACTTGGAGGTAACGTGGAGTATGGGCATATAGGAAGAAGCTGTAAAAATTGGGCGGGTGGACGGTGGTTGTAGTAAATCTTTAGTTTTAACCTGTTAAAGGGGATTAGTGCCATTTTATAGTGCATCATAGGACTAAGATAACTTGTACTTTGAGTCCAGTGTAATGTGATTTAATGACCGGTACCGTTGCAGTTTCGGTGAGCTATAGAACTCAAGCTGTTGTTCCATTCTCACTGTTATTTTCAGTATTTTATAAAAATTCTCGATTTAGTCACGTTATTGTGTTATCAGAGGCATTACTATGTAACATACTCATTTTTGACTTTGTCTATTTGGTTAGTTTTGATGTGCAATTAAATTTTACCAGTGAATTAATCGAAAGTGTCAAGACAAATTAATGCATCCTCAACAGAGAAGGCTCAATAAGCAAAGTCTTTGTCTCCCCCTGGTGGTCAATCTAAGCTATTCCATTCAACAACGGAAAGGCCCGATCACTGAGCGCTTCTGTTTTGTAATCGATATCAGACGATGTAGAACGATGCAATAGATAATGCAAGCATTCACAAGTCAGTGAGGTCATGTGCCGTTAGTTAAGGTCAGCTTGATGGAAAGATACTATGATGGCTTGCTCACGTGAAGGAATTGGTACTCTCCTATAATAGACCCACGCACTGTAAAAAGAAAAAGGAAAAAATGATGACTATGTTTCTCTTCCTGATTAGATTCTGATTAGTCAAGTGCTAGGCAGTAAACACGGTGGTTATTGACACGCATTGATGGTGGTAAATAAATTGCATTGACTTGACTCAAACCGACATGACCTTCTGAACACAGTGTAACAAAATTGAGCTGTATCATAAGGTAATCAGAACAGTGAGGACTCATTTCACTGATACCAGAGTTGTTAATGTTGAAGATAAATGGTACATGCTGTAATAATGCAACAGAGCTGTATCTGTAATGACAGAGCAGCTGAGTGATTATTGTTGTTATAGGCCTTTGAAATGCAACAAGGCAACTTATGGGTGGAGCATTTTCTTCCGTTTTTCTCATTACTTTCATTCAGTCTTTCTTCCTTGTTCTGATGCTCGGTTTGAACTTCAGCGTGCTGTCTTGACCATCTCTACATATCTAAATGTTTTGAGTTGCTGCTGATGTGAAAGGTTGATTAGATATTTGCATTACTGTGATTATTAGGTACGCCTGCTCCACTGCTAAAGTAGTTGCTAAATGTATTTAGAATGACTTATGTATACATTTCCTTATTTTTTTTTCTGATCCATTTAGTTTAATGAGTATTATGTTTGCTTTTCTGCATTTCATCACTTTTGTAAAGTTAAAAAAAAAACCCTTCACAATTCATTTGTTTCAGAAAATATTTTCTTCTATATTACGCCTATTTTGCTGATTTTTTTCAAAAGTAAGCAAGATTATGAGGGAAAAAACTAAATTTTTTGATGTTTAAGTCTTCAAAGGCTTGTGAAAGTTGTTTATTCGTTCATCACACAGTTAAAGTGACTGACTGTTAATGTTTTGGCAAATGTGAAAAATCCCTTAATTTTTTTGAGAAATACGAGACTAGTGAGAGTGACTTTCCTGCTGTGAGAATGGCACCAGATTGATTGAGAAACAGTATGATGTATGAAAAGATGAATAATGGATGTTGTAAGGTTTTTATCGTGATGATGTTGGAAAAAGTGTCGGCCTAAATTAAAAGTGAAGAATTTCTTTGAAACTTTAGAAAACTGCTGAAATCGAGAAATGCTAAATGATATACGTGAAAGTATAAGCATTAGAAAACAGGAAATGGAAATATATACTATGAGAGAACATTCAGCAACCACTTTTGCATCTGCTCAGCTGCTTGTTAATACAATTATCTAATGAGCCAATCACATTTCAGTAATCCAAAACGTTAAGTCATGTAGATGTGATAAAGACATCCTGCTGAAGTTCAAGCTGAATGAATGAGGACGAAAGGTGAGTGAATATGTCTGAGTATGTCCAAAACTACTGATCTACTGGGGTTTTCCCACAAAACGATCTCTATGGAGGGATGATTATACAGAGAATGCTCCGAAAAAGAAAAAAAAACCTTCTTGCATCTCTGAACGCACAATCTAGCCGACTGTGCTGCACATGGTCTGCAGCAGCAGAAGACCACACTAGGCTCCACTCCTGTCATGTAAGAACAACAAACTGAGATTACATCTCGCACTGACTCATCAAAATTGGACAATAAAAGGTTGGAAAAAATCTCAGAATAATATAATAATAATGCAGCGTGCACAAAAACAACGACAAAGGTGCTATTGTGGGTGGGAAGTGTTAAGAGTAGTGAGACTGATAATTCTGATGTGAGAATTGCACCAGAGCGATTGCGAAATGCTGTACCTTGAAACACAACAATCATATTTCACATGGGAACAATTGTTTACCATAAATGTTTACCTAAATCTATAACCCTATGCCTAATTGAATGGACTTTACTCCTTTGATAACTTATCTGAGATTTCTATATCTTCAGAAACAAGTAACACTGTGTCATGAAGGCTGTATTTGCTCAGAGACCTTGACCTTGTGTACAGCCACACTGTGTTAACATAACTCTTCTCCATGTCACCACAAATATGGAGCATTGGTTGGATTTATTCTTGTAATATCAGTAACATTGTAACATTACAGTACGTGTTTTGTTTAAATGACGAGGTTAACTTTATACCATATACCAGTGGTAATACAATGAAATGACTTACGATACATGCTTGTGCCACATGTGCTACTGTGGCACAGTTCCCTTTCTTTATTTTAAACTTTTATTTTCAATGTGGGATGAAAAATCCATGCATGTCCTTGTTCAGCTCAGTATTCACATAGGCTCGTGCTACTTCCTTGAACGTTTTCCCATCGAGAATCAGGATGAAGCTCGACTGGCCTGGATTGTAGTTGATGACTGATGTTAGGACCACACCTGCAAATGGAGAAGGAGGTTATTGTATCACAACTTTGTCAACACAGATTACAGGCACAGATAAGTGGGGGGAGATCTGGTCTAATCTTTGTAGACCTTCTTATTGACTTGAACTTCAACTTGTCAATAGAAGCAAATACAGAATAAATGTCACGTCTTTGCGCACCACATTCACTTGTATTCATACCATCATCTTCCGACTCTCCGTTTGGTCTGGGGATGAACACCGGCTCCGACGGCAAGCACTTGTCTTCATCCCAGTACACCATATTCTTGGTTTCCATGTCAAACTTTGCAACCTACAGTGAGTGAACAGATGAAACACACTCAACAAAGACGTCCATGCAGGTCAGAAGTTATTTACAGACACAGAAATACCAATACACAACACAGCACAACCGGCTTATCAGCCGGTTTAGTACTTTGTTCTGTGTGCAAATATTAGAAAGAGCAGTAAAATTCTCATATCACATGAGACTGCCGGACAATATGATGAGCAGCTGATGTTCTCATGGATGCACTTTGTACTTGATGCGTGAATCAAGTCCTTTTAATGAGCACAGGTTGGCATTTTTGCTGGCATGGCTTTGAGGCGTGTCTCCTATCAGGGGGAAACTTATATGGTAATTAAAAAACAAAGTTCCTCTGAGGGATCACCTTTATTCTGTTGTGAGATACTTTGACATCCTCTTTTTTTTAGGGAGGGAATGTCCTCATTTATAGGACAAAATGATGAAAATCTCCTTCATCATATGCTTTGGCTTCAACAGCCACTAAACCTGACCCAATTTAACCCCCCACAGAAGATAGTGGAGCACTGAAGAATCATTGCAGAGGTACATTCAACCTGTTCTGCCAGCACGTGGGGGTTAGACACCTGATTATGACACTTAACATGTTTTTTTTGTCTTTTGTCACCTCTATGGTTCAAGCAGAAGCCAGCGCTCTCTTCCTGTTTGTTTTTAGAATTGATTGTCTAGTGAGGATTAATAAAAAAAAAACATAATTGTCTAATACAAAATATTTCCTTTTATGCCTTCCTGACTTTATGTCTCTTGTTGGAGGGCTGAGCTTTGAAGTCTTCTTTCCATTGTTTCTGATATCTTGATGTGCACGCGTACCCAAAAGTGCCATGAAGGGGATTGTTGTTTTATGGCGCAATGTGTAATTCACACTTAAACAAAAGTTTTACTGCTACATTTCGCTTCAAATGATTATTCTCAGTACTGTAGTTTTTCACCCTAGTTTTGTAAAACAATACGTCCAGGAACAGCCTGCTTCCCCAAAATTTAAATGTCTGTTCTGGAAGTTAAAGGTCTCCATAGGCAAATTATATTTATAAAAATGTAAGAAATCTGAAATGTCGGATGTTCCCACCACTTCTGCAGAATCCCCCACGTAGTTCCCATAGACAAACTGGTGCCTCTTCCCATTGATGTCATAATTGATTCTGGGTAATTCCAAGCCTGATGGAAATAAAAGCACAGTTTTTGCTCCTATCTGGATTAACTTTAAATGACAAACAGCAATTTGAAAAATAAAAATCAACAAACTTCATTTGCCTTAAACCACTCAAACAGACACGTTTGAGTGGCGTTGGTTTTACCTTCACAGAGCACCTCTGCTTGGCACATGAATTTGCCTTCTTTCTCCTTCACGGCGCTGGCTGTCGTGTACTTGAGTTTCACCATGTTCCCTCCAACTGGAACGCTCTGCGAAATCCAGTCGACATGTGAAAGCCTTTAATGTGTGAGCCGTTCGATTGCAGGACCAAATGAATTACATGAAAACAACTCACTTTGTCAGCGTGGATGGGAAGGGCAAATCTCTTGTAAGCTGGCTTGGAAACCCTTTTTTCATCAAACTGAGATTTCTCCTTCAAGTTGCTCAAGTAGAACATGTCATAAAGGCTGTTGTCGGTGTAGGCAATGACATCAAAGACCACGTGGCCATCGTCCTCAAAAGCATTCACATGGTGGTAGAGGACCATCGCTCCTGTGTAGTACTTTGTCTCAACTTCTTTGCCGGTCTTTCTGTCTACCAAGTGGATCAGAGTCTGATGGAGAAACAAAGATATAGATAAAAGAGTCGATCCCATTTTTTTCTGAAGTGTTGAACACTAGTACACCCTTGTCCCCGGTCTATTAATGCACATTCATTAGCCTACTAACTCCTTACGTTTTCTTCAGGGCAGAACTTCAGGCAGCTTGCCCAGCTGACTCCTCTCATATAGGCAGTAGCCATCTTGAGGATGTCCAGCTTGAAAGGCATCTCGACAAAGATGATGTAGTTATCTGTCATGCCAAAGCTGTGGTAGTAGCTCGGCATGAGAAGGGAGCGGCAGGGGACTGAGCAGATCACCTCTGCATTTTTCAGTGCAGGGCCTTTCTTGCCTTTGTCTGAAA